TGTTCTACTGCCCACCTACCCTTCCTTTCACCAAATCCTAAGATCCTAAAAGCTTTCCTAAAAACTCTTCCCACCAAAATGAAGCCTGCTACTAAATGCCCAGCAAGAGAAAAAAAACGAGGCAAGAAAAGTGAAAAAAGAGGGGAGGAGAGAAAGCAAAAGTAAAAGTCAAGACTGCTGTGTCACTTTTAAACCCAACTGCTTTCTGGGCATGCCCGAACTTCACAAGCTAACAGTTTGCATCTGGATCAGAAGACCATGAAGTGTACGACCTGTAAACAGTTTTGGGGTAAGTTTAAGCTCTTTGTAACATGACAGTGACCAGAAAACCACTCGACTAGCTTCAAAACACGTTTTTCGGCAAAGTCTCCTGGAGCGAATGGGTTAAAAGGGCCACTTATTACCACATCATGAAATAACAAAAGTGTCTGTATTATATATTTTTTCACTCTTCTGATAAGGTACCCTGCGAACAGAGTCTCCTTCGATCTTCCTAGATAAGTCAGGAAGAGGAAGGAACCTCTGCCGACATCCTCGATAATTCATATTGAGCATGCTCCAAATTCAGATTTTTCTGTGACGTCAATCAAACCGTTACCGTAACATCCACTGTGTTTGTCAGCAAATTAAATGTAAATGTTAGCGGGAACGTACCAGTTTGTTTTCACCCTTCCGTATCTGTGTTTCCTCTGGATTTGGAAGCTCTATAGGAACAATTTCACCTTTGGAATCTAAACTTGCCACGTTTCAGTATAAAGAAGTTAAAAAAACTTATAACTAAGGTAAAACTTACGGTGCTTTTCAAAAACAAAGCAATGAACCTTGAAACACAGAAACACACAAAAGGGATCGAAATCCACCAGTCACAAATCACAAATAAACCACCGCCTTTTGTTTCCTAAGAGGTTCGCTAAAATGAAAAGGCTAGAAAGCGAAGAAAGCGCCACTTCTTCAGATTGTGATTGATGTCGCAGAAAAACACAAAATCCAAAGACGCTTTTGGCATCACAGGTTGGGTATTATCCAAAAAACAGCTGTAAAAGCATCGATCATTTAAATGCAACATGGATTCTGTAGCCTCATGATCTTATTTTGAATTAATGTTATGAATGAGCAAACACCAAAGAAAAGGCATAGATATTGTTTCGTAAATATTTTTATTCAAAACCCATTTGTTTATCCTTCCAAGAACTTCATGTAACACTTACTGGATTGGGGATCCGTTCACGCAAGTAAAATCGGCTAAGCACACGGTTAAATCCAAAACAAAATCCGTCTGGGTGCATTTTCCAATTTTTCTAAAACTGCACGTTCAATCTATATTTTTCTCAAAATTCCTGCATGAAATTGAAGCGGCAGCTGTTTGTTTTGTTATGGAGCGTGGGCGCAGAAAGAGTCAGCAAAACTCCAGAATATGCGTGCGTGCACAGGTAAAACTGGTTTATCCAGTACAAAACTTGTCTGACTCATCCAAATCGCTGGATGATCAGCAGATCAAATAGCCTCCCACGCAGACGTTCTTAGGGGTTCATCACATTCCTGCCCCACGAACGTCTACTGACTTGAGCGGAAAAAAACACAGACCAGTCACAGCAGACTTCCAGATCTGGGAAGTGCACTTTGGACCTTGAGAAATTTCGCGCTTGACTTTATAGCTCCAGAAAAGATCAGAAAGGTCTCATGAAAGGTGAAGACCTTACAGTTTTAGAACAAACTACTCAGTTAACTCACAAGCCTTCGTACTAGTGGCTACCCTCACAATCTCATTGAAAAAAATTACCTCGGAGGTTAAATTTGCTGAACGGAAGTCGGCTTTACTACAAAACAATAACGTGTCAAAACACTTCTGCCTTTTGTTCAGTCCTACAAGGTAACCCGGCTGTTGCATCACCCAAAGAAAAACTTTATGAGCACATGACTTCTAATCCAGCCTTACAGCGAGAAATATACAAAAACCCAACGCTTATCCAGGCCCGTAACCAGGATTTTATATTGGGGGGGGGGGGGGGGGGGCTAAGGGGCCAAAAGGGGACAAACCAAGGGAAATGAATTTTTTTTTGTTGTTTCGTTTTTTTTGGGAAAAAAAAAAAAATAAGAAAATTTAAAAAGAAATAGAAGGGGGGGAACGGAAATTTACTTTTGGAAAAAAAAATGTTTTAAATAAGATAAAAAAGAGAAAATT